TGACTGAACAACAACAATTGTACGTTGTCCACATTATGAGAAGACAAGAGTCACTAGAAAAGACAATAATGCTAGGAAAAGTTGAAGGCCGCAGGAAAAGAGGAAGCCCCAAAGTGAGATGGATGGACTCCACCAAGGAAGCCACAAAGGCCCTCAGTCTGCCAGACCTGAGCAAGGCTGCGAATGATAGGAAGTTCTGGAGGTCGTTAATTCATAGGGTCAGCATAAGTCGGAAGCAAGATGACAGCACTTCACACGCACACACAATGCTCACAGGGGTAGAAAGGCGGCATCTGAGCTGTACCATTCAGACTGCAAATGAAGGCTCACATGAAGAAATCCTTCCTGGTTGGGGGAAAACCCCCCACTCCTAACACATAGGAAACTAAGCATGCCAGTAATTTGTCCACATGCTGCTTCTTTATTTCGCTATTTATACTTCACTTTTCTCCCCTGCCGGTATGTGAAGCAGCTTACAAGCAGCTTTCCTTAACTGCCGGGGAGAATTAGCTGAGGTTACTGTGTGGGAGGACAGCGTCTGAGGATGTGTGGGTGTGTATAGCCTACTGGAGAGTGATGCCTGTTTGAGTAAGTGTTGTTTCTGTTTGTCTCTTTTGCCTGGGTTGTAGCCGATTGTAGCTGATGGCAGAAAATGACTGTTGTTGATTGGGGAGGGTCTGTTTTGCCTGGGGCTGACTGCTGGCCCTGTTCTCTGCTGGGTGAGCCTTGAACTGTGTAAGGCTCCTCCTCGCCAGAGGCATGATCCTTTGGCATGAGCTGAAGGGCGAGAGCTAAAGGGCTCTTGCCCTGTGGCTCTTAGCCTGGGGGTCAGGCCTGGGGACCCCGTAAGTAGCTGAGCTTCTTTTACACCTATTAAATACTGGGTTCTAGACGCATTGCAGGGATCAGCTCTAGTTTATTCAGTGGTTTCAGCAAACTACAAGACAGCTCTAGCAGGGCTGGAGCCCTGCTTATATGCATGCAAAACACCGCACCCGACACACACACACACGCCCAGTGATAGGCTATTTAAATTACACTGCTTATCTATAAGTTAGTTCCTGGATCCAGGTGAGCTATTGTTCTAGAGAAGCAATCTCAGCCTGTTCTATGCACAGCTAGAGGAAAGGCTTAGGCTCAATACACAACAACACCCTACATGTGTTAAGCTTTGTCTTTGCTTCTGCAAGCTTTGCACAAGTAGTATTGTGAGGCAGTTTGGCAGGGAAGTTCTCAGTGAAGTGCAAGAGAAACGGAACCACTTCTGCAATGGATTGCAGCAGCATGGCTGGTGAGGGGGCTGAGGCAGTGACGTGCAAAGTCTGTGGCATGTTTGCATTCTGACCTGAGGATAACAGCAATTACACTTGCAGCAAGTGTAAGTTGGTAGCCCTACTGGAGGAGAAGATACAGGGACTTGAGGCATGCTTGCCCACACTCCATTTTATAAGGGAAGGAGAAGAGTTCATGGACAGAATGCATGAAGCACTCTTGGGAGGGCAACAGGAGGTGGAGGGAAAGGTATCTCAGCAAATGGAGGAGCACCTGACACAGGAGGAGGGTACATGGAAGAGGGTAACCCACTGGAGCAGGAAAACCAGGAGACATTCTGAGCCTCTGTTGCTAAGCAATCGGTTCCAAGATCTCCCCATAGATATTGATTCTGGATCACTGGAACAAGGGCTACTCCCCCAGCCTCCATGAAGCTTGAAGGAAATTTCTCAGGCCCCCGTAGATGAGAGGACTCGAGCTTCTGCTCCCCAGTGTGCGCTGGTAACTGGGGATTCCCTACTGAGAGGAGTAAAGGCTAAAGCGTGCTGACCAGACTTGTCATCTCAAGAGGTATGCTATCTACCAGGTGCACACATCCAGCATGTGACAGAAAGGGTAGGAAGACTCATCAGGCCCACAGGTTACTATCCTTTCTTGCTCATCCGTGTGGGAACAAATGATACTGCCCGGCATAGCCCAGAACATATTGAAAGAGACTATGTGGCTCTGGGTAAATAAGTGAAGGACCTAGGAGCACAGGTTGTGTTTTTGTCAGTTCTTCCCGTTGAAGGCTGTGGCTTAAGAAAGGAAAGAAAAATACTGCAAATAAATGACTGGCTACATAGATGGTGTCATCAGGAAAGATTTGGTTTTTTTGGGCCATGGCTTACATTTTCGTGATGAAGCTCTTCTATCGGGAGATGGTTTTTACCTTATGAGGGTAGAAAAAACGTGTTTGATAAGAGTCTTGCAAACCTGATAAGGAGGGCTTTAAACTAAATCCTATGGGGGAGTAAGACAAAAATTTAAAACCTAGTATGATGCCATTAACTGGAGATAAGAACACTAAAGGTTTGTGGGGTGTGGCACATATGCTAGGAAACATTAACTCGTATGTAAGTACTGAAACAAAAACCTCAGGGCACATAAACCATGGATTCTGATGTCTCTGCAGTAATGCACAGAGTATGGGAAGCAAGCAGGAGGAACTTGAAGTCAGCTTGTGGGATAATAATAATAATGATGATGATGATGATGATGATGATGAAGGGGACTATGACCTAATAGGCATTACTGAAACTTGGTGGGATGACACTCACAACTGGAATATTAGGATTGAGGGGTACAACTTGTTTAAAAGGGATAGACAAATAAGGAAGGTTGGAGGAGTAGCATTATATGTAAAGGAGGTATATGCTTGTGAGGCAATACATGAATCTGAGCATGGAAGTCCAGTTGAGAATCTCTGGATAAAAATAAAAGGAGCAAGAAATAACAGTGATATTATGGTGGGGGTCTGCTATAGATCACCCAATAACCAAACTAGAATCCACAGTTGTCAACCATAATCATTAAAATATTACAACTGCATGGCAGCAATGTTTTTAGGTTTTTATAATTATAAACGTTTTACTATAATCAGAATACAAAGACTTCTTTTACAAACATCAATCAGACCAATTAGAAATCAATTAGGACATTTTTGAAAAACAGTAACAATTCTCTATCTTATACCCAAAAGTGTATTTCACAAGGGAACCAAGGCAGAGGACTTGGATGAGAGACTCCTAGAACAGATCCCAAAGTTCTCAAAGAAACAGCACACAGTAGTCATGGGAGATTTCAGTTACCTGTGTATCTGTTGGAAATCTAAAAATGAAAGCTTAAATTTCTGACTGAAGATTGAATGTGGGCAAATGTTGTCCCCATCTTCAAGAAGGGGGAAAAGGAGGAGCCGGGTACCGAACTGTCAGCTTGACGTCTATACCTGGAAAAGTTTTAGAACAAATCATCAATCAGTCAGTCCTTGGGCATTTAGAAAGGATGGCTGTGATTACTAACAGCCAGGATGGGTTTATCAAGAACAAGTCATGTCAGATTAACCTTATCGCTTTTTTTGAGAAAGTTACTACCTTGCTGGATCAGGGGAATGCTGTAGATATAGTTTATGTTGATTTCAGTAAGGCTTTTGATAAGGTTCCACATAATATTCTAATTGACAAGTTGGTACAATGTGGTTTGGATCCTATTACTGTTAGGTGGATCTGTAACTGGTTGACAGATCGGACCCAAAGAGTGCTTGTTAATGGTTCCTCATCCTCTTGGAAAAGAAGAGAAGAAGAAGAGAAGAAGAGATTGGATTTATACCCCGCCCTTCACTTGGAGTCTCAGAGCGGCTTACAAACTCCTTTCCCTTCCCCTCCCCACAACAGACACCCTGTGAGGTGGGTGGGGCTGAGAGAACTCTGACACAAACTGCTCTTTTAGGAACAGTTGTGCCAGAGCTTGTGACTGACCCAAGGTCACATCAGCAGCTGCATGTGGAGGCGTGGGGAATCAAACCCAGTTGTCCCAGATTAGAGTCCGTGCTCTAATCTGGGAGAGCACTTGGATCAAGTGGAGGAGTGGGGAATCAAACCCGGTTCTCCCAGATTAGAGTCCGCACACTTAACCACTACGCCAAACTGGCTCTCAAAGGAGTGGCTCTCAAAGGAGTGACAAGTGGAGTGCCTCAGGGTTCTGTCCTGGGACCTGTTTTGTTCAACATCTTTATAAATGATCTGGATGAAGGAATAGATGGAATGCTTATTAAATTTGCAGATGATACTAAACTGGGAGGGGTACCAAATACGGTAGAAGACAGAGTCAGGAATTGGATACAGTATGATCTTGACAGGCTGGAAAACTGGGCTAAAACAAATAAAATGTATTTCAACAGGGATAAATGTAAAGTTCTGCATTTAGGTAGGAAAAATCAAATACACAATTACAGGATGGGAAGACCTGTCATGGCAGTAGCATGTGCAAAAAGGATCTAGGGGTCTTAGTAGACCATACATTGAACATGAATCAGCAGTGTGATGCAGTAGCTAAAAAAGCAAATACGATTTTGGGCCGTATCAACAGACGTAAAGTGTCTAGATCACACAAAGTGATGGTATCGCTTTACTCTGCTCTGGAATTTTTCCGTAATTTGTCCTTTAGATGTTATATCGCTGATCCTTGTAAGTTTATTTTTTCTCCAGATAGCATAGGCATTAACTGCTCTACCTGGTAAAAACCAGTATTGCCCTGGAAAAGATGATATGGGAGAAATACTGGGTGCCAGCAAATCTGCCAGTTTGCCGTAGAGGTTAAGAACATGGCCTCTAATCTGGGAGAACCAGGTTTGATGTCCCACTCCTCCACATGCAGCTGCTGGTGTGACCTTGGGTCAGTCATTAGTTCTTTCAGAGCTGTTCTCTCAAGGGCAATTCTTGAAAGAGCTCTCTCAGCCCCACCTACTGCACAGGATGTCTGTTGTGGGGAGGGGAAGGGAAAGGAGATTGTAAGCCGCTCTGAGACTCCTTTGGGTGGTGAAGGGCGGGGTATAAACCCAATCTCTTCTTCTTCATCCCAGAGATGGAGAGTAAGTCACAAGGCACTTTTGTGGCTCATCTCAATGCCTTCTCTTCTAGCTATGCCCATAGGAAGTCGACATTGAGAAGAACACACGGACCCTGGAAAAGATGAATGAGGAGGCGCAGAACCACTCAGCCTTTTTTATCAGGGTGAAGAACCCAGCTGAGCGGGTAAGTAGGTGGCTGTTTAATGTGGGCGATAGCTCAGTGGGTGAGTGCTTGCTTAGCGTGCAGATGGTTCTGAGTTCAATCCCTGATATCCCTCCAGTTCAAACGATTTCAGAGCAGGGGATGTCTTTGAAGAGCTGTTTGCAGTTGACGTAGATGAGCAGTTCTCCAAAAGGCGACCTCATGGCACTATGGCTTCTACCAATGTGTTTCCTGATGCTCACTTCCTTCTTAAATCTTGGGCATAAAATCCCAATACTCTTGGTTGGTATGGAAAAAGAGAAACAGGGAGTGTTGGGTCGCTCCTTTTCACCTGACTGACTAGCAGAGCTCTGAGCTCGGCCTGGGCAGATGCGCCACAGCTGTCCATCTTTCGTTTGGCCACACAACTTTCTTATCTCTCTGGACTTGGAAGCCTCTCCCTGTGGCTGGAAAGGAAACTGAAACCAAACAGTGCCATAACCCCGAAGCAAAGAGCTGATCCCAGCTTCACTTCACTTCCTTGGTGCGTCAGAAGAGCCCTTGAAGCAATATTTTTGCATCTGCAGGGGGTGTCCGTTCAGAGGCAGCTGCCTCCACTGAAGGAGATGCTTGGCTTGGAACCGCCAAAGCTTTGGTGATTGGCTTCATTCTTGCAGCGGCCGCTTGGCAACTGGCTATGCCCTCATGGGAGCCATTTTGTTCTGACACGCACTGCCCTTTCTCAAGATTCCAGACCCGCTCAGAAGCTCAAGACGTCCAGGGAATCATAAAGTCAGTTCCAGGGAATCATAAAGTCAGTTCTTTGTTGTGTGGAGGTTCTATTTGGGACTGCAGGGTACAGTAGGGTTGCCAGGTCCTTACCTTAGATACAGCGGGGGAATCCAGCACTGCTCCGGGAGTTCACGGAATCATGTCGGGCACGCCGGGGGCGGGGGCACAGTCATCTGAGGGAAACCCATAGAGTTTTCCCTCAGATGACCGCGACCCCGCCCCCAACGCGCCCGACACGACTGCGTCACTTCTGGGTGACGTGCTGACGCTGGGCACGTCGCGTGCTTTGGGGGAGGAGTTCCCCCCTGGGCCTGATCCGCTGGCGGTGGGTAACGGGCCTCTCGGGCGGGGGTTTCCCCGCCCCCCGAGGGGACTTGGCAAGCCTAGTGTACAGGGAGTAGGGTTGCTGTTCCCCAGGTCCGTGTGGGGAATCCCCCAGTTTTGGGGGCTTCTGCTGGCCACTGGGGGAAACCCCACCCCCAAACAGCAACATTGCTTCGGAACCCCGATTTTACCTTAGAGTTTTGCCCAAAAACCAGAGTGTTGCCCCGATGTGATGACGTCTCTTCCCAGATCCCCCCGCCAACAAGAAGAAGGGATCTGGCAACCCTAACAGAGAGGTGCCTGAGCTAAGTTAGCCAAATGCCCACTGCTAGTGGGCCACTCCCCCCACTGCACTCACCTCCCACCGCTGATGGATTCGATGATGGCAGGAGGAAAAAAAGGGAGGAATGACACTGTCGATGTTGTGACATCGTTTCTGGGTGAAAACCCAGAGGTGAGGTCCCTCCTCTCTAGGAATCACACTATGGTATTTATTTATTTCATTGGTAAAGGCACAGATTTTCTGGTGATTCCTAGAGAGGACTGACATCACTCCTGGGGTTTCCTGGAAGTGATGTCACTCCATCATTCCCCCCCCCCCCGCTGCTGCTTGGAGCAGCAGTTCGGAATGAGAGGCAGGTAATCTCCCCCTGCCAGGGGGCTGGCAACCCTACAGTGCTCATGGTGACCCTATCCCCTACGCAGTATGAGGACTTTGTATAGTATAGGCCCTCAAGAGTTAGGATTTGAACGTGGGTCCCCAGAGCTCAAACCCATATCTGGCTTCCCACTTCCCATTCCGGAAGCTGGATTATGTGGTGTAGAATGAAGAAAACAAAGAGACCCAGAGTGGCCAACAGAAGCCTTGGTTCAAATTTTTTACTTAGCTGTGAATCTCAATGGGTGACCTTCAGATAGTGTGACTATCAAGTCTACCTTGTGGGGTTGTTGTGAAGGTAAAACAGGAGGGGGTATATACGTTTTCCTGACATTCTTAGAGGAAGAATGGAAGAATAAATTAAAAGGGGGAAAGAAGCTGATTTTGTTTTGGATATATTTAGCTTTTTTTTTTTTTTTGCTTCCCTCATTCTCCTGCAGAATATGCAAATGCCAGCAGAGGGAGCTCTATTACAGCTGAAAAGGCCAAGCTGTGGTTACTGTACAGGCTTCGAAGTTTTGTTGCCAGGTCCCGGCCTTGAGAAGGCTACTGGCCCTTTAAGAGCTGACGGGGTAGAATTCTTGCTCAGTGTTGCTTTTCATCTCAGTGGTGCCATGGAGGGATAGCTGAAATTCTTCGCAGCCTTAAAAGTACAGGCCTCCTCTCAGCGTCTGGCTCTGGCAACCTGGGAATATTTAAGGATGGATGGCAGGCAGGCCTAGGGCAGACACTGTTGGGCTGGAGGGCAAGGTTCCCTCTGAGCAGTGGAGTCTTGTGAGCAAAAATTCTGCTTTGTGAGCTACTGACATTAAAGTTGTGAGCGAGCAATTTGGCTACTGCATAAATTAGTTTGCTCTGGAGGCATTAGGGCTGCCAAATCCCCCCGGGGGGCGGATTTTCCCCTGCTTTGGAGGCCCGATTTCCGCCCCTGCGGAATTGGGCCCCGGGGGAAACCCCATCCCCGCGTGCACGTCACCCGGATGTGATGTCGCACGCTGGGGGCGGGGCCACAGCCATTTGAGGGGAAAACATAGAGTTTTCCCCTCTATGTTTTCCCCTCAAATGGCTGTGGCCCCGCCCCCAGTGTGCCCGGCGTCATGACGTCACATCCGGGTGACGTAGATGCAGCGCACGCGTGCTTTGCGCACACATGCACCGGGAGCTGCCCAGGAGTCCCCCGCCAAGGAGGTGAGTGCCATTTGGCAACCCTAGGAGGCATCCTTCCTGAGCTAAGACAAAAATGCGTGAGCCGGAGGCTAAAAAACTTTGAGCTAGCTCACACTAACTCGGCTTAGAGGGAACACTGCTGGAGGGTGCAGCTTGGACAGATCGAGCAGGACAGGGCAGAATCTGGTAGGGCAGGGAGAAATCTGATGGATTATGGACAGATTCAAGACAGGCTTCAATGTTTGTTGGGCTTTTTGACCCCAGTGCTGACAGAAGATAGTCTTATTTGTCCCAGTTCCTGTTGGCCACCACTGCTCCAAGTGGTGTCAGGAGAAAAATAAAAAATCGTTGGCGGTATCGCCTGTGCCATGATGTCACATCTGGGGAAAACCCAGAAGTGATAGAGGGTAGCTCTAGGAATCACTGGGAACTCTGTGGTAAAACCCACAGAATTTCCAGTGATTCTTAGAGCTACCCTCTGGAGAGCCAGCCTGGCGTAGTGGTTAGAGTGTTGGTCTACAATCTGGGAGACCCAGGTTCAAATCCCACTTCTATTCTGGAAGCCGGCTGGGGGACCTTGAGCCGGTCACCCACTCTCAGCCTAACCTGCCTCACAAGAACAAAGTCCGAGTCCAGTGGCACCTTTAAGACCATCCAAGTTTTATTCTGCACGTGAAAGCAGAATAAAACTTGGCCTTAAAGGTGCCACTGGACTGTCTCAAACTTTGTTCTGCTGCTTCGGACCAATGCAGCTACCGACCTGAATCTACCTCACAGGGTTGTGGTGTGGATAAAATGGAAGAGAAGAGAGTGATGTGAACGACTGGGGAGAAAGGCGGGCTGGAAAGAGATAAAGCGAATAAAATGTCTGGTTTTCCCTGTGAGTAACGTAATGGTGTGGACGACACTGCAGCCTCCCGCGCTTCCCTGTCACTAAACCCGCCTAGCAAGCCGAGCTCAGAATTGTCAAATACCAGCTCTTCCCCGATCAGAGAAGCAGGCTGCATTTCCGGACGTGAGGTCTCTTCTTTGCCAGTAATCACAGCAACATCGTGCCCCTCGCTGAGGTGATTAAGAAGACCAGACCTTCCCTCTCTGGTCCTTCCTTCCGGTTCTGATGTTCGGTATTTTGCTCTCGAGCAGGTCTCTGGAGAGGTCAGCGTATGTCAAGTTTCCCCCATACAATCAAATAAATAGCTTCAAGCCTCAACTGAATGTCACCCTTTCTCTTCCCAGGACGAATTAAAACCTGGAGACCTCGTTGAGATCTTCCGCTCGGCTTATCAGCACTGGGCCATCTACGTAGGGGACAAGATGGTTGTCCACTTGGCTGCCGAATGTAAGTTCAGCGATATTCCTGGCGGCTTAATGTCAGTTCTGTAGAGCATACCCTGATGAGGCAGAGTCTGAGTTTCATTTCATTGCAATTTTAACAACTCTAGCTACAGACGGTGTGTGTAAAGTACTGCCAAGTCGCAACCGACTTAACGGCGACCCCAGCAAGGGGGCTTTTGAGGCAAGGGAGAAGCAGAGGTGGCTTGCCATGGCCTTCCTCTGCAGAGTCTTCCTTGGTGGTCTCCTGTCCAAGCATGAACCCTGCTTAGCTTTTGAGTTCTGACTAGGTCGGCTATATACCACGCTGCCTTCCCTCCCTCCATCCCTCCAGCTACTGATTTATTTATTTGTTTTTATTTATTTGGCTGTTTCATTCGGCGGAGCAGAAACAAAGCGGCAGCATCACCTAGCGGCAGTTGCATGTTTTAGAGCATCTGTCTTCATCCCCTGGATCCAGATCCTCAGCAGGGTCACGGAGACCCCCCCCAATTAGGACACGAGCCCCTAAAGAGCTGTGATTTTCTTGCCGCTTTTTGGAAGGACCTGCTACAAGCATGGGTAGCATGACTCCCATCTAGGGTGGCCAACCTCCAGGCGGAGCCTGGAGACCCCCAGGCATTAGAGCTAAATACAGATTATAGGAGCTGCGGTGGCTCAAGTGGTTAAGACGCTGAACTGCAGGCTGTGGAAGATCGGTAGTTCAGCCGTTCGAGACCCGAGTGTGCCGCATGACGGAGTGAGCTCCCGTCTCTAGTTCCAGCTCCTGCCAACCTAGCAGTTTGAAAGCAAGAAATTGCAAGTAGATAAATAGGTACCACTTTGGTGGGAAGGTAACAGCGTTCCGTGCGCCTCGGCGTTTAGTTATACTGGCCACATGACCACGGAGAACTCTTCGGACAGCGCTGGCTCTTCGACATTGAAATGGAGATGAGCACCGCAACCCTAGAGTCAGACTCGACTGGCTTTCAAGCAAGGGAACCTTTGCCTTTACCTTTAATTTACAGATTATAGGGATCAGTTCCCCTGGAGAAAATGGCTGCTTTGGAGGCCAGACTCTATGGTATTATACCCAGCTGAGGTTCCTCCCTTCCGCAAACCTCACCTTCCCCAGGTTTCATTCCCAGATCTCCAGGAATTTCTGACCTGGAGATGGCAACTCTGACTTCTCCATGCATGCTGGCTGAAAGAAACAGCAAGATAAGGAATCAAGGTCACCCATCAGTAGACGGGATTCCATTTGGCACAGGCAGGTTCAGAGATGTGGGCTCCTCCCCTTCCTGTCACATGACTGTAAAACCATGTGATGCCAAACTGACTTCCTGCCTTGTGCTTGCGGCTCAGTAGGGTCCATACCGTTTCCTGGAGTTAATGGTGTGTGACCGTTGCTTTAGAGAATTTCTTTTTAAGTGTAGGGTGACTTTGAATCATACTAGGGGGGGTGTAGGGTTGATGTATTCTGACGTCTCTGTAAGAGTCGGTCAATGGGAGCTGCAAGCAATGAGGAAAAGTGGTATAGAAATACAGTACATAACTAATTTTTTAGAAAATTATTTGGTTATTTATGGTCTTCATTATTTGCTGAGACTCCAAGCGGATTACATTAGTGTAAGTCAAATATAAATCAACAGGATGGGACTTCCAGTGCCAATACTGTAGGGTTTGTACAGATATCTGAAAACAGAAATGTCCTGTCCCCCCTCAACCTCCTCCTCTTCAGACTGGACATTCCCAAGTCCCTCAGCCATTCCTCCTAGGGCTCATAGGTCTCCAGGCCCCTGATCATCCTCGTCGTTCTCCTCGGCACCCGCTCCATACTGTCCACATCCTTTTTGAAGTGAGGCCTCCAGAACTGCACACAAGACTCCAGGTGTGGCCTGGCCAATGCAGTGTACAGCGGGACTACAACGTCTTGTGATTTGGATGTTATGCCTCTGTTGATACACCCCAAGATCGCATTCGCCTTTTTTGTCGCCGCATCACACTGGCTGCTCATATCTAATTTACGGCCCACACGTACCCCAAGATCTTGTTCACACCCACTGCTACCCAGAAGTGTATCCTTTGAAGAGAGGGCTCCATGACGTTCCTTAGTCATGTAGCGGGTCATTGTGTATCTAGGGGGATGAAATGGTCCTTGTCCCCACCGACTCTGTCGATGCCCCCTCATTTGTCACTTTCTCTTGGTTCCTTCTGCTTCCCAGGCGACCACCTGGCAGATGGCATTCCCCTGGCGCTCACGTCCAGCGGGGCTTTCGTCAAAAAGGACTGGCTGGAGCACGTGGTGCGGAAGGACCGCTACCGAGTGAACAATAAATATGACGAGACACACTCGCCTCTCCCCCTCTCCAAGATCCTCTGGCAGGCTGAGGAGCTGGTGGGGAAGGAGATGCCCTATGACTTGACACCCCACAACTGCGAAAATTTCGTTTTGGAGCTGCGATATGGAGTTGATATGAACGAACAGGTGCGAGTTCCGTTGTACGCTTAGAATTAAGGTAGACGATTGGGTTTGCGCATTTGGGAGTTGTTTGTTTGGAATGTGTGTGTGTGTGTGTCTCATAGCTACTCCAAAGGGTTTTCAAGGCAAGAGACGAACCGAGGTGGTTCTGCAGAGCAACCCGGGACTTTCTTAGAGGTCTCCCACCCAAGTGCTAACCAGGGCTGACCCTCCTTAGCTTCTGAGATCACATGATCTTCCTAACTGTAACAGTGGTTGAGCAGTGGAACAGTCTGCCTCGGGAGGTGGTGGATGCTCTTTCGCAGGACGTTTTCAAGCGGAGGCTGGACGACCATCTCCTGGGTATGTTGTAGGGCTATCCTTCGGCTATGCTCCTGCAGAGTGCAGGGGGTTGGACTAGATGACCTGCAAGGTCCCTTCCAACTCTAACATCCTATGATTCTATGAGATCGGGTTTACCTAGGCCACACAGGTCAGCATATAGTCTCTGCATTTTTGTATGCTGAGAACATGCCCATGAGCTAGTTTCAGTTGGGTATGGACTGCCCTGACTTGGATGGTCCAGGCTACCCGATCCCGTCAGATCTGGAAAGCTAAGCAGGATCGGCCCTGGTTAGTATTTGGATGGGAGACCACCAATGAAGTCCAGGGTGGCTACGCAGAGGCAGGCGATGGCAATCCACCTCTGGACGTCTCTTGCCTCGAAACCCCTACAGGGTTGCCCTATGTTGGCTGGCTGAGACTTGATGGCACTTTCCACCACCATGGACTCCTCCACATGCAGCTGCTGGCGTGATCTTGGGTCAGTTACAAGTTTTCTCAGAGCTGTTCTCTCAGGAGCAGTCCTCGGAAGTGCTCTCTCAGCCCCACCTACCTCACAGGGTGTCTGTTGTGGGGAGGGGAAGGGGAAGATTGTTAGTCATTCTGAGACTCCTTCAGGTAGTGAAGGGCGGAGTATAAATCCAATCTCCTCCTCCTCCTCCTCCTCCTCTTCCTCTTCCCCTCCCATTCCATTCCTCTGTTCTGGAATATTGTTCATCACCACACTTAACTCCTGAATGCTAGTTTAGCTACTGTCTCCAGTCAGTTCTGGAACTGGAAACTTGTGCTGTTAGCGGCACCCTGCTGTTCATTTGCATCTCCCCCCTCTATGTTCCCAAAGTGTGCATTGACACAACATAGCAAAAAAGCAGCCGTGGTGCAGTTGCCTCCAGGGTTCTTTTGCGCTGTGCTTGACTGTCATGTACACGTGTACCCCAGTGCTGGGGAAAATGCCAGTAAAGAAGCTGGATACAAGTGTATGTCCAACAGTCACACTAAGAGTGTTTCCTTGGTAGTGTCCCCCCCCCCCAGTGTACCCAAGCATGCTGGTAATGTGAAAAAAGGGGGAAGATGCAGATGAGCTGAAAGAAGTGAGAATTGCAGCTCAATCTTTATGCATAACACCCTTGGAAATACAAAATGAAGCAGCGGGGAATTCCTAGTGCATTAGTTCTGCTTCAGAAAAAAAAGACCAGGTAATGTGCAATGCCAAAATCCAGGGGAAAATTGAGATCCAGAGAATGTTATCAGCACAACATAAATATTAACACCCATCTTTTAATGCCTGCTTGCGTGTTATGGCTTCCTGCAATTATGAACATGAGGAGAGCCCTGCTGGATCATACCAGTGGTCCATCTAGTCCAGCCAAACAGTTCCTCTGGAGGACATAGAGGCTGAAACCTTCCCCTGATGTTGCCTCCTGATGCTGAGATTCAGAGGCTGACTGCCTCTGAATGTGGAGGTTCCCTTTAGTTACCATAACTAGTGGCCACTGATAGACCTCTCCTCCATGAATCTATCTGTTGTTGTTCAGTCGCACAGTCGAGTCCGACTCTTCGCGACCCCATGGACCAGATCCCGCCAGGCCTTCTGGCCTTCCGCCGTCCTCTGAAGTTTGCTCAACTTCATGTTCGCTGCATCGATAACACTGTCTAACCATCTCATCCTTTGCCGTCCCCGTCTTCTTTGACCTTCAATCTTTCCCAGCATCAGGGTCTTCTCCAGTGAGTGCTCCCTTCTCATTGGGTGGCCAAAGTATTTGAGCTTCAGTTTCATTATCTGGCCTTCCAGGGAACATTCAGGGTTGATTTCTTTGAGGACTGACTGATTTGATCTTCTTGCAGTCCAAGGAATCTATCTAATCCCCCTTTAAAGCTGTCTATTCCTGTGGCCCTCACTACATCCTCTGGCAGTGAATTCCAATTTTAATCACTCTCTGCCTACAGAAGTGTTTCCTTTTGTCTGTCCTGAGCCTACTGCCCATCAGCTTCATTGCATACGTGTTCTCTGTCTCTGTTTATTGGGAACAATCCCTGCATCTTTCTATATGAAGTTTGCCTCTCATGTATTGAGACGCCGGGGATTCTTGAGAGAGTGGGCATGGCATCGTGGTCAGGTTAGGATCTGGGACAGCCAGGTTCAAATCTCTGCTCTGTCATGGAAGTTTGCTGGGTGGCCGTGGGCCCATCACAATCCCTTAGCCTGTCCTACCTTACAAGGTTGTTGTTGGTGAGGATAAAGTGGTGGAAGGGAGAACACTGTGATAAGCCACTTTGGGTCCCAAGCAGGGAGAAGAGTGTGATAAAACTAAAAAACAAACAAGTAAACTTGGACAAAACGTTGTTAGTTTCTACTACCTCTGCCAGGAATCTTGAAGTAAAATCTCTGAGAAGCATCTTGCTTGAGACAGGGCATGCGTGCGTGAACATCAAATTTGTTGTTGTTCAGTCGCACAGTCGAGTCCGACTCTTCGCGACCCCATGGACCAGATCACGCCAGGCCTTCCGGCCTTCCGCCGTCCTCTGAAGTTGGCTCAATTTCATGTTCGTTGCATCTATGACACTGTCTCACCATCTCATCCTTTGCCGTCTTTTAGGATTGACTGATTTGATCTTCTTACAGTCCAAGAGACTCTCAAGAGTCTTCTCCGGCACCATAGTTCAAAAGAATCTATTATTCGGCACTCGGCCTTCTGTATAGTCCAACTCTCGCAGCCATACATGACTACTGGGAATACCATTGCTTTGACCATGCGGACTTTTGTTGGCAGGGTGATGTCTCTACTTTTTATCATGCTGTTTAGGTTCGCCATCGCTTTCTTCCCAAGGAGCAGGCGTCTTTTAATTTCATGGCTGCTGTCACAGTCTGCGGTGATCTGGGATCCCAGGAACGTGAAGTCTGTCACTACTTCCACGACTTCCCCTTCTATTTGCGAAGGAGTGATGGGGACATCAAATGCCAGCTATCTATTGTGACTCTTTGAATTTTGTTGTAAAGCCAGTTGCATGCTAATGGTCAGAAATGGGACTGCACATTTTGTATAAATACAATAAGTGCCATCAGTTTGCAGATGACTTACGGCGACCTAGGGTTGCCGGCCTCTAGGTGAGACCTGGAGATCTCCCGCTATTACACTTGATCTCCAGATGACCAAGATCAGTTCCCCTGGAGAAGATGGCTGCTTTGGAGGGTGGACTCTATGGGATTATACCCTGCCGAGGTCCCTCCCCTCCCCAGGCTCCACCCCCTAAAATCTCCAGGTATTTCCCAACCCGGAGCTGGCAACTCTATGGCAACCCCAGTATGGGGCTTTCAAGGCAAGCGAGAAGCAGATGTGGTTTGCCATTGTATTCCTCTGCGGTCTTCCTTGGTGGTGTCCCATTCAAGCACTGACCTTGCTTAGCTTCTGAGATCCAATGAGATCAGGCTATCCCAGAAATCAATCGATCAAGAAGAAGAAGAAGAAGAAGAGTTGGTTTTTATACCCCGCTCTTCACTACCCAAAGGAGTCTCAGAGCGGCTTACAATCTCCTTCACTTCCTCTCCCCACAGCAGACACCCTGTGAGGTAAGTGGGGCTGAGAGAGTTCTGAGGGAACTGCTCTTGAGAGAACAGCTCTGGGAGAACTGTGACTGACCCGAGGTCACCCAGCTGGCTGCACATGGAGGAGGAGGAGGAGGAAGAAGAAGGGATTGGCTTAATACCTCGCCCTTCACTCAGAGTCTCAGAGCGGCTGAGAGGCAGGTGGGGCTGAGAGAGTTCTGAGAGAGAACTGTGACTGACCCAAGGTCACCCAGCTGGCCATATGTGGAGCAGTGGGGAATCAAACCTGGGTCTCCAGATTACAGTCCGCCGCTCTTAACCACCACACCACACTAACTCAATCAGTCAGGAGAGAGAGAGAGAGAGAGAGAGAGAGAGAGCGAGCGCGCATCACAACAATGGAAACTTCTGTGCTTAACTATGAAATATTTATTCACCAAAGAAACAAGAAGGCCTAGGCAAAACTCTGCATGCGTAAAGAGAAACAGCCATCTGTCAGTGTCCAACTTCTTGGGACCCAGCAGGCTCCCTGTGTTCCGCAGAGGATTGTAGCCAAAATGGCCTGCGAGTGGAAGCAGTCTGTCTCTGCCACTAGCTGCCCTAGAGGAACTGCTGGAGTACAGTTAAAAACATACCACCCCCCCC